TATATATATATATATATATATAATAGATAAAGAAATTAAATTCTCCTACCTCCTCCTACAGTAGCAGATCTGGTTAAAGAGGCATCCTCCTGTCCTTCGAGTTGCCTTTTAAGTTCTTCTGCAGATTGAGAATGGAGCTGCAGGAAGTCTTTTATGGCAAGTGAAGCTTCCTCTTTAACGGGATTTATCATTCTCTGCAGCACCAGGATGTCTTCCTGCCGGACTCGCAAACAGAGTTTCTCCATCTCTCTCATATTGGAGCGGAGTTGCTGTAACAAGTTTAAAGAGTTATTTTGTAGCTTACTATGCAAGAGCACCAGACACCTTCAGTGGTTGGGAAGCAATTACCATCTTGATATCTTTAAATATTCCTTAAAAGTGATAAGTTTTAATAAACTAAGACGAAAAAAAACCCAGTCCTCAAGACCCAGGTTTTAAGCAAACCTCAATGTTCTAGGTCACCTCTCCTCTTCATCCCTTTTCTTTTCCAGACTGCATTGTTTGCCTGTCAAAGACGTCCCCAAATGCTATAAAAGCCCATGGCTCTGATAACAGAGTGAATCCTCTCCTTGAATCCATGCTGGGTGTTCCAGAGTCTGTTATCTTGTGTCCCCATGCTACTCCCTGGTCTTTTCATAATGCTTTTGCAGAAGAGTCACTCTACAAAAGATATAGTGCTCTGGAGAAAAGAGCTTTGTCCTCACTTAAGGTAGTTCAACCTAAAGATGATCCCTTCCAAGTAAATGATCCTCCTCCTACTGATCCTAAGGCAGATGATAGCCCTGTAACCAACAGTGATACTGAGTGAGAGAGTGATTTAGTCACCTCAACCAGAGCTCAACACCGTCCACAGGGGAAGGCATCTGCACTTCCAAGCGCTTCTCACTTGGATGTGCCACTGCCTCATAACCAGCTCACTAAGACTGTTGTATTTTTAGTATTTGCTCGTGCTTGTGAGTTCACTCAGTTCTCTATAACAAAACATAAATGGGGATGGCAGCCCCCAGCACAGCAGCCCCTGAACAGTGCAGTGAGGCATCACTGGGACATGCTGTTGAGTCTTTTTGGACTACTTTCTCTAAGAGAAACTAAGCTATCTGCACCAGGAGAATAAGAACCAAAGATCAAGGAACAGATCTTACCTATTATCCTCTCTGGCAAACTAATTTATCCACAGTATCAGCCAAGGACAAAACAAGGGAGAAATATTCTTGAAGCCATCCCCATTAGTATTTTTTTCTTGCTGTCAATTTTATACTTTATACACTCCTCCAAGTAAGGAAGTCTGTTTTATTTTGGGTGTCAATTAAAGTATTTAACTAATGAATTCACTATGTAATTACTGAGGTTATTTAGGTGTCTCTGATCAATTTAGGCCTTTGTCAAAATACCTACACAAGCTGCAACAAGTTAAAATAATATACAAATAAAGTAAGTGGTTGCTTCTCAAAATCTGCTTTTTTAAAGAATAATCCACTGTGGTGGTTACAGCACTTCAGGATACAACCATTTGCAACACCCAACTCATTTTCATTTTGTAAAGACAACTAAGACAACTTCAGAGACAAAGGATAAAGATTACCTCTCCCTCCAATATTTATATTCTTTTTTCAGAAGAAAGTCAAATATATTTATTTGATTGGAATGCCAAATATAATAAACCAGAAAGATTTCTTTAGTTACAAGAGTTTCGAGAAGATACAAACTATTTACAACTAGCAAGGAGAGTCTGTGTGCAGGCATCTCCTGTGAGATAAATTTTTGTCTACAGCAAAAATAAAGAGGTTTTTTTACTGCCTAGGCTTTTAAAAATCTAAAAATGAACACAACTTCTCTTTTTCTACAGATGAAGAAATTTATACTTTAAATTATACCACTTAGTGTTTTAGGACAGAGGTTTTATCTTATTAAAAAAACAGACTGCAATAAAAATAATATTAACTGCATCACATTACAAGGTGATATAACAAATTATATTTCTTCTTGCACTGTTTACCAGTTGTTTTGAGTATTCTTCTCACAGCAGAACAAGAGAATGGATTAACACCAGTGAGGAGTTGGAAAAACAAAGGTTTTCTTCAATAATACAAAGCAGGTACAGACAATGACTTAGAATGGCAACGTTATTTGCCTGGGAAAGCAAGAACTATATATACTAGAATTATTTTTTTTAACATGTATGAAAAAAATAGTAGAAATAGAGAAAAAGGAAATCAATTCAACAACAAATTTGAGATAACACTGCATTAGACAATCAAAGAAAGAACTACTGATTTGTAAAATTCATTTGTCAAATTACTAAGAGTATATTCTGTTGTATGCTATGTACTACTCAGCATTTTAGGCTGCACTATTTAAATCAAGCAAACCCACTGATTAACAATAAAAAAAAGAGGGAGATACAAAAAATAAGATATTGAGCAAATAGAAACATGGTACCCAGTACTTTTCCTCATACATTTCTCATCTTAATGTACTCTGCTCTTCCTGTATCTTCCTCCCATGGTCTGCCCAAAAGTACTGATAAAGAGAGAATGTGATCACTGTTGTAGCCCACCATATGCCAGAATTCTCAGTTTATAAAATCTTGGAGTTTCATTTAAAAGACAAAATGGGACTATCTAGACAAAACATTTCATTATCTATTTTGTGAGAATTATATGCAGAGGACTGAGTGAAGCTGATTCTGCTGTTTTGTTTCAGGAAACAGAATTATTATTATTATTATTATTATTATTATTATCCTGTCTTCGGCCATAACATGAACAAAAAAAGACATGCCAAACAAAACCACGTGAAACAGTAACAATAGTGAGTTTGGGATGAGCTAATAATGCTTTCAAAGCAGCTTCTTCAAATAAAAAGGAAAATTTCCTAGCTGAAACTGAGTTAAAATGTAGCTCTGCTAGGGATCTGCACCACTGCAGCTGCAGCAATTACCAGTATAGCCAATGCACGAGTATAACAAAGACAGTTACTGTGCAGTGACCAACACAGCCACCAACTTGCTGCTGGAGATTTCAAAAATCCTGAGCAGCAGCTTCAAGAGATACAAACTACTCACCCTAGGAATGGCTCAATCTCATCCTCACTTTCACTCTTCACTGTTACCTTGCTGATCAAAGAGAAGTATTTGTGAAAAAGACAATGGAGGAACCAGATGAGATCTGATTAGATGATATACTGGGAGTTGGACCTTTGAAGGTGCCTTCCAACCCAAACTATTCTATGTTTCTGTATTTGCCTATCATCTGGTGAAATGTAGTTTTAGTACCTCTTCTTTTGTGGTTTTGGCAAGAGGACTCTTGTTCCATTTACTGTCAATGAAAAGCTAAATGGATTCAGCCTAGCAAGAAAGCTAAGCCCTGTTGTGAGGAAACACATCACAAGAGCTCACCAGGGTGTAACATGATAGATGTTATGGATATGCAAATGCCTGCGACTTCATTTCATAATCATTTTAATGGGACAGAGTTTAATTTCTGGGCAGAGCATAGAAGTATATCACCTTCTTCCCAACTGTTTCCACTTCTAAAATCAAGCTTACTTAGTGAGGAAGGTAATACAAAATTCTGTTTTCACTTAGGGGAATTCCTGAGTTTCAAACTCACCAAATTCAGACCAAAAGACTCAGATTTTTTCTTTATAATATTTGCAGATTTCATGTGTTAACTTCCAAAACCAAGTAACAGTCTTTGTTTCAAATGGCTTTCTCACAAAAAACAGTAGGAAAATAAAGCTGACAAAAACCCTGGGAGATCATTCCTTCAAAGCATGATCTGGCATCTCTATCTTACTTCTGACAGTTGTTTATCTAATCTGGTCTTAAAAGGCTAACTGAATCACGGTGATCATGCCATTATCACACTCGATCTCTGCCACTATAATTCTCTTTTTCTTCCTTCTTCGTTTATCATTTTCCGATAGTTTTCAGGTTGAACTCTCTGTGCTGAGACAGTACACAGATGACACAGGATCTGTCAAATGCAACAAATCAGTCCCTGTTTCTCTTTACCTCCTGTCTTCTGTGCGTTAATCACTGTCAACTCTCCCTCCATTGTTTTACATTAGGATGTAAATAGCGCCTTCAAAGAAACCCACCACCTTAAACCCTCTCAAACATAAATATGGTTTTTAAGAAAGTACTGAAGTAGCTTAGCTGTGCAAATGTAATGTTGCCTTCACTTACCTTCTCTAGACTTTGTTCAAGGTAAGGCAATAAAGGATACATGTTACAAATTTCTTGGCATAGGTCAAAGAAGCTCTTGAGGTTAAAAGATATATCTACCCTACAGATGGCCACAGGCTGCAACAGTGAGCCGATTTTACATGACACTTCACTGATACCATGAACAATCTCCTGCAGCAATAAACTCGTCTACCCTGCTGCTCATGCTCTCCCAGTATATTTGCATAGGATTCTAGAAAGATACTTAATTTGAAGACTGCATAATTTTAAAGATGGTAGAGAAGGCACAAGCCATACAACTAAGCTTTGAAGATTTATGCAAAAGAGAGCTGCCTGAAAACCATCTTGTACTTGTAAACCATTTTCAATTGAAATGGAAATCATAAAAGTGAAAAATATAAAAAATAGATTACCATTTTTCCAGTAGCTTTCCAGGTTAGAGCAACACAGTGGAGAGACTGTCTGCCTGGGTATGTTTTGTAGAGCAGTCTACTTTTGTGGGCTGAATATAGACTAAAGCCAAATCATTCACCCACAGTATTCTTTTTACTGTTCAATGCCCTATATCCTCTCTAGTAACTACAGCATTTTTCTTCCTCTCCTTATGATCAGGGCAGACATTAGGTGTTACAACAAAATCTTGCCGTTTCATTGAAATGAGCTTAAATCTTGCAATAATTAACTAATTGTATGGTACAGTCAGCACCTATGTGGGCAAAGCCTAGCAAAACTGCGTAATTATTCAGGCCCTAATATTTTAAGGAGACTATGGACCACCCCTAAAAATGAGAATCTACAAAAGCACATTTGTGAAAACTAATACATGGTATACAGAGCAATTTTCTCAGTATTTCTGAAAGGGTGTCATTTCCCTGGCTGCTTCTCTTTCCTTTTTAGCAGTCTTTAATGCAGCTCCAGTCATTATAAAGAAGAGGTATACATTTATGCTCATCTATACTTCTATTGTCATTTTGACCATTATCAAAAGTACAAGAGAAGTAATTATTCTGGGTAAACTGAAAATTCAGGAAAAGGGCTAATTATGTGCACATGGATTAAATGTAGAGTGGCTGTGCATATATTTGTCTAAAACCTGTGGCGGATGCCTTGGGTCAATATTGACTTAGGGATTCCTAATGTATTTTTACAACATCTAATTTTGAGAGCAAAGTGTGTGCTGCAGAGAACATTTGGTATCACAATAATTAATCTGATTTCTTCGCAAACAAACAGATCACAAGTCCATTGGTAAACATTTAAACAGCTTACAGCAAACACATTCTACATGTCATATAATTTATTATCAAGTACTCCAGACTCCTAACTATTTAATTGAAACAAAGAGCTAATCTACTCTTCTTCCATGGACCCAGATTCTTATTCTGATCTCTCGGTATCAGAATGTGAACCACTTTAAGGCATAACTTGTACTCAGATCGAAGAGCAACAAGCGTTAAGAAAATGTAAGAAAACTTATTTGGGCTGAAAGCAAAAATGGCAGGCTTGAGGTTCAAGACAAACATAAATGTTTCTAGGTACAAATATGAGGTTTTATTACTGAAGCACTTATCATTTAAAAACATCACCTTCAACATGATTACTTTTTCTCTAATTATTGATAGATTTTGCCCTGCTAAACAAATGATTCTGATAATGAAAAGTTCCAAGAGAAGCATTTTGTACCACTCAGATGTGAAAATAGATTAGAGCACAGACATAAGGAAACGCATGCTTACAACACCACACCTGTTGGAATGCCATTGTTTTAATAGGACTTCCACCTTTGGAAGACTCTTTCTATACCAAGAATAAACTTACATTCAAATTTCAAAGATACTTGGTGAAAAAATAAAAAAACCCCAAACATTCAAACTTCCAAATAACAGAAATATCAAGTGGATTTCTTATATAACTTCCTAACACTTACACTAAAAAAGCTCATTAGCATCTTCCATTCCTTAAAAAAGACACGAAACTCCAGTTCTGCCTACTGTCTAACACTGTTGCTCGATCAGGATTAAGTTCTTTCTGAGGCTTGGGTTGGGTTTTTTTATTTTTAGTCTGGTCTGATTTCCCATAGGAGTTAGTAAGTCATTGCAACCAACATGGGAACTTACAGTATTAGAGTTATGAAATACTGATGCAGCATAGGTCGCTAAAGGTTTGTTCTAGTAACAAAGTCATGCCCCTCTTCTGAACATCTATGAAACCAACACGAAATGCCTCTCCTGCTGTCCCCAGACTTTTGCCAGTACCTCATGTTATAACCACTCTTGCTGTATCTGCTATATGATCACAGTTGCTATATCTGTATCAGCGAACTTTACAGTGCAGATCTGGTCTTTGTGGGGTTTTCTATTGTTAATCTTCTTTGGCTGCGTGCCATTCAGCAGTGTGAAGGCTGATGCCTGGCATTAGCTTTTGCATTGTTTTCATCAAAAACTGCATTTTTTTAGAAAAGGATGTAAGATCCCCAGTATGCTCTGTTATGGGTGACTATGCATGAAGTCACTGAGATGATGCCATGTTGACGAATGCATCTGGTATTTCCTCCTTTGATGATATTATGCATCTAAGAGATTTGCACACCAAACCAGTAGCCCAGATGTTATGTGGTGGATCTGAAACCATGCTTTAAAATTAACAGCATTCCTTATGGCAATTCCTGTCTTCTAATTTAATAATGTAAAAGGATAGTTTCAGAAGACCAGTCTCCAAACTTTTGTTTATTCAACAATCCTGAAACAATTATGACTGTATTTGCCTCAAAGGGCACAATGAGGAAATCCCTACCTTTAAAGTGAAGTAAAGCAACACCATGTACTTGTCAAATTTAGCTGTCAAATGTATGTCTCTGTGAAGATCCATCCCTGAGGTAACCAGTACTATGTATGTGATTTAATTCCATTAATATCACAAGTAATTTTAATACCCTTACCTGAACTGTTCGTCCTGCATTAATGTGCTCTTCATGCAATCTGTCCCAGAGCCTGCATCTCTGATACTAAAATAAAGGAAAAACACACCATAAAATCACTATTTTTACCAACTGGCTATGCAGGAAAAAGGAATCTTTCATAAACAATCACTTTAATTTTCCAAGACTGACAGTAAAGATGCTGAACCATAGGCATTCCCACTGCAAAATTAGAGAGGTAAATAGCAATGTATGTTGTGAATAATTTCGTACAATGTATTTTACTGAACTGCAGATAACCAGGGTTTCAGCATCAGCTTTTAAACACAGAGACATACTGCAGCATCCTGATACTGCTGTGGCATAAACCACTTGGTGGTCAGTAAAACAGAGGGCAGAAGGTGGAAAAAGGAATGGAAAAGCGGATAAGCAGCACTGATCATACAGGGCAACAAGGTGTCTGATACTACTTACAAAGAAAATGGCATTCATTACACAACACTATTGTCTGTATTTGCACTTACCATTCGTATATAGGTATAAACACAGTTAGGAGAACCATTAAGCCAGATTTGGCACCTGCATGAGGCTCCACTAACTTCAGTGGGAAACTATCCAGACAGCACTTTCCATGTGACAGAGACCAGAGTAATTACTCCATTAGCAGAGAGCTAGTTTTGCAAAAGAACTGCTTATCATTAGAAATAAACCTTTCCATCATCAAAATAACTCATTCCATGCTATTGCCAGTTGATATAAATAGCACAGAGACATTATCATGAAGAAGAGTACTAAAATAATGTAAGTAGAAGCCATGATTCCTGAATATGTGCTGAAAACATCAAAGATTGTATTTACAATACTAAAAATTGTTAGAACATTCTTACTAATTGTTTAAATAACAAGACAAAATATTTACCATGATCTGTAAGGTATTTGTACATAAAGTTTAATTCCTCATTTTCTTAAAATGCTTTGTTGCCAACAAAAAACTATCTACGGCCTACATCTTTCCTTAATTCTTTTCATCATTTTAGAGGCCACTGCAATAAGGATGACAAGTTACTCAGCTTTCTAAAAGACAATGAGAAATCTGAAGTTTCTTCTTATTCTCAGAGGAAAAAAGTCCTTTCATGTTAGGATTTTGTTGTGCTATGGAAAAGTTTTACTGTTCAATGAAGTCACATCCAAGTGATTTTTCTACAAAATTATCAAATTCTGCATAAATTATTATGCCATTAAAATTATATTGTTCTTTAAAATAAAATGGACAAAAAATCTGTATCAGCATTAGATCTTCTAATTCTGTAATCCCTGAAAGTGTACCAAAACAGGAATTTCTGAGGATGGAACAGAAGAGGTTTCGGGAAAATCTACCTTTTCAATATCAACTGACTGTAATATATTGTCCACATACCAAGTAATAAAGAAACCTGTTTTCCAGTTAAGAACAAGAAGAATTCCTCAGGAAACCTTTATTGCTCTTCATAATTTCTACTAGAAATGCTCAGCACATTTATGTGCTTTATATATTTAGAAGTTTTATTACTTTGCTTCAAAATTCCTAGTATGATAGGAATGAGGTCATTCCTAGATGACCTCAGAGAATCCAATGACTTAATACACCCAGAGCTGTGACATTTATATGGTCAGAGAATTCCTCCTTGTTGACTTCTTTTTGTCATCCGACATACAGTAGGCCATACTTCTGACAATGTTCACCCTGTGGCACTCGGACAGCAAACCTTGAGAAGAGATGGCATGGGCATTATTTGTCATTAACAAGTACGTGTAATACTAAGGGAGGTCCATGAAGTAAATCACCTATGGAATCCTAACCTGTTAGAGCAGGTCCAGAGGATGACCACAGAAATGATCAGAGGCTGGAACACCTCTCCTGTCAAGAAAGGCTGAGAGACTTGGGCTTGTTCAGCCTGGAGAAGAGAAGGCTCTAGGGAGACCTTATTGCAGCCTTTCAATATATAAAAGGGGCTTAGAAGAAAGATTCTTTTTACTAAGGCCTGTAGTGATAGGACAAGGGGCAACGCTTTTAAACTGAAAGAGGGTAAGTTTAGAATGGACATGAGAGAGAGAGATTTTTTTTTACAACAAGGGTGGTGAGGCACTGGCACAGGCTGCCCAGAGACGCTGTGGCTGCCCTGTTCCTGGCAGTGTTTAAGGCCAGGTTGGATGGGGCTTTGAGCAACCTGGTCTAGTGGAAGTTGTCACTGCCCATGGCAGGGGGGGCTGGACTAGATGATCTTTAAAGGTATCTTCCAACCCAACAACTGTGGTTCCAAGATTCTGTGATACTTAATCATAATTGTGCTACAGCCAAATAGTTTTTATTCCACATCAGAAATACAAAACCTAAGGTTACTCTTAGACACTCAATCTATTTTCCTCTTTGTCCCATTTTTTTTTTTGAGAGCTCTGTTTAGAAAGAAACCTTCATGCTTACACTTGGGACCCCTTCCATTTCTCCTTGAAAGTAGCCGGTGTACATGAAAAGATCTCAAAGCTTTTCATAAAATCCTCTGCATTAATATTTGTAGCAGGTAGCAGGTAGCTCACCTGTGTTTCTGAAAGCTCTGCAATAAATGTCTTTTATGAATGTATACACTCTGATGAAGGCTGCAGTAAGACTCAGATATCTTAATTTCTCATTTTCTATCACTTTGACATATCTTCCCACTGCAACAACAGTCCCCAGACAAAGGTAAAAGGTATTTTGGACAACATCCTTTACCTTTGGCATAGTCACAGGAAATGAAGTTAAAACTGAAAGCAACAGAAATAAGGATGCCATGTCTTACAGCACTTATTTTTAAGGATTGTTGTGTATCACCAAAAAGCCTTAGGGCAGCATGCCAAAATCCTTCCTTCCTGTAGTATGATGACAATTGCTTTCATCTCACAGACGCTAACAAAGTTGTAGCTCTTTTGGATAAGCATGCATTTTATTCCCTCTTTGGGAGTGAGTGAAAGGCCATCCAATTCATGGACTGGATTTAGAAAAAAAGAAATCTTTGGAGGAAACATGGAAAGAAAAAAAAAAAAACAAACCAAATGTGGAGAACTGATTTCTTAAGGATGTAGTTTTTAAATCTTCAGAAACTGTCATACAAAAGTTGGACTCTCAAATAGTTGAGAAGCAATGACAATGGGTTTATGACAGCCACTTCCTCTGAAAAGGTGTACTCAAGGTCAAATTTCATTATATATTGATTTTATAGTTTCTTCAAACAGTGATTTAGTAGATTAATTGTTTGGACTATCTCTGGAACCAAAGGTTTAAATCAATATTCATGAAATGAGGTTAGAGATATTGGCTTCATCATAAGTAAATAATGTTGCTGCTCTAAGCAATTTGACATAATTAGTGATTTTTGCTTAAAAGTAGCCTGTAAAATAAACAGGATGAGATTTTACCAAATTATCCCTTTACCTCTGAGGATGTTTGGTTTACATGGCTGAAAGTTAATTTTACAAAAGGTATTTTAGAGAACACCATTTAAGGTAGTGATGCTGACAGCTCAGTACTGCAACACATTCATTGTGGCTAAAATGCATGTAAAAAATATAAAATACAAATTACCGTGGAAGTATTTCAACCAAACCACTGCAAGTGTTCTGATAATTTCAAATTCCCATTGCCATATTTCTATTCTTACCATCTCATAAATCTACTAATAGAATAAACTTCGGAATACATATAGTTCTTAGAGACAAAAAAGTATTTTAAAATAGAAAAAAAGTGATAGAAACTTCAAAATTTTAAGAAGATTACACTAAGTATGGACTTCGTAAAAATCTGACATTTAGGTACTATTTTTCTTTTCAAATGTATTACTTCTCATAAACATTTGTGTCTTATCTTTTTCGTCAACACACAGAAATTCTGAAGTCTTCAATACTGCTGAATACCTTCTGGTATAGTTACCAATTGTCTACTTACAGGTTTTATCCATAGTTACTTGTTTCTAATAATTCTACGAATTAATAATTCAAACATCATATCTGTCAGGATTTACACTGTCTAGAGATGCAGCAATTTTTAATAGTATTCTGAAATCAGAAAGACAAATCTATACTAAATGTTGTTACCACTTTTTGCTTTCATAAAAGTGATCTAGAGGAAGCACCGTTGACACTTTAAGAACTATGTTTACAATTATTTAAAGATTTTTCTGATATGCAAATTTTATGCTGTTGAGTGAACACATCATTCACACTGCTACCACCAAGCACCTGAAAATCTTAAGATATGTCCAAATCAGATGCTTTCAGATTGCATTAAATTTACATTCAAAATATAAAATTCAACTACTTAGTAAAGCATCTCGGTATTTGGTGTCACTGAGTGCCGTTACAGACACACTACAGTCTGTACTGCCTATAATTAAACTCTGGCTAAGCATGAGTTTCTCTGACAATGTTTTCAGCAAAGTGTTAGATCAGAACTAACCTAAAGACTCGTTTTATCTTGAGTGCTAATATTTTCCGCATGTTCTTTGAGACACAGAAAACCATCCCTGCAACAATCTCCCTCCCTTTCTGTCAGCAAAACAGGAGTGCCTGACACAAATGAGTTCCTGGGCCAATAAAGATTTCAGTTTCCCAACACGTGGCTGACTTAAACGGATGTATTTCGCCCCTTTCTTGGCACCATGGCAACACTATCTGGGTAGATACAGCTTTAATCATTCTTTGTCTAATTACGAAGAAGATTCCCAGCAGGATCAAAGAGTAACCACCAGGTTCTGCAAAACAGCAGTTCTCAAAATCATGTCTCACACTGGTTAAGTAGTACACAGGGTAATAACTGATCATGTGTCTGTTTCTCATTGCAGCACCCAAAGCCTTTTGAAGCTTCTTGATAAGGTGTTTATATAACATAAATGAGAGAGGTTTTACATATATGGACAATACTTAGCAAAGAATCTATGTGGCTGCGCAAAGTTACACTACTGGAAAAAAACAACCAAGCAGTGTAACAGTTATGCCCATCCACTCAATTGTCTCTCCCTAATTACTACCTTACACACATCAAAAGCTTTTCTTTACCTTCAATGTGCAACAAAACCTTTTCTGTATCAGTAATGTGCCCTGGTAATCACTTCCTACTCTGTACTGGCAGGTCAGGTCCCCCTCAACAGACTACCTTTTTCCAGTGACCATCAGTTCGTTCCTCTTGGGAACAGCAGCTTTTATGCCACCCTTCTGTGGGTATTTATTACTGCATGCTTTCATTTCTGGATGCCTTCTTCAAGACTTTGAAGAATGGTACACCTCACTGCTTCACACTCATTGAGGCTGTTGGTGTTAACTGGAGTACTGCCATAAAGGTGTAATTTTAAACGTAATTTTAACGTAAGACAACTATGGACAAAAAACTCTACCTTTCTTCAACCAAGAAATCCCTTTTGGTGGATCATCGCAAATGCTTGTTGCTTCCATGAGCAGTTGAGCAACTTCTGGCTAGAGAAAGAAGGGCATGATCTAGCTACCAAGACTGTCTCTATTTGAATCAAAGAGCTTGCGTGGAAAAGCTATTATTATGATGCTCTCCTCTAGGTTCCTCTGTATCCTGTCCTAGTCCACATTATTCATCACTAGCTACCCTTAGCTACCTCTATGGCCCCTGCTAAGTACGGGCCATACACACTGAGGGATGTACACACTGATTCCTGGAGGTTGTATACCCCTCCGGGACAACTGTAGGTGTAATACTGACTCTGCTGTACTCTGGCTACAGTACAAAGTAAGTCAATTAACTGTTCTTTGTGGAAAAAGTTGGAGAACAGGAAGCTGCATCTGGTTACTACAGAACAGGGCTGCTGCAAATTGGATGATTCCAAGGCAAAACTACTGCTGAATCAGCTGGCATTTAGGTAATGTAATGAATTATACAAATAGGCAATAACAAAAGAGTAAACAACATGCTGTGACTGAAAAAAAATAGATCATCTCATTCAGAAGTTATTGCTTCAGGCAAACAACATACTAATACACTTTTCAGTTGGTGAATATTGCAGTTCACATCCTTACTGTATCCCTAACCCTCACCATGAAAGAATCAGAAGATTATTTCTCACCATTAGACCTTGCAGCCCCAAGTCTTTCTCTATCCCAGTTTTATTCTTGTCCCATGGTCAGACACTATATCTGCACTTTCACCTTCCATCTGAGGTACTTATTCACAAAATCCTCCCACCTAATTCTTTATCCTTTATTTACCTGAGTCAGGAAGAGTTTTCTCTTGCACACAAGTAAGTGAAAGTAAGAGAATGAGACAGTGGGAACACAGAAAAATCACCTCCCTGTTTCCATTCTCAGATTCAGGACCAATCAAATTAGCAACTCCAGGAATGAGTTCTGCAAATTTCTAAGCACAAGAGTATGCCTTGCTGTTGGGTAAACCTTTAGCAATCTTCAGCTGGTGAAATTCAACCAGTAACTACTGAGCACCTGCAAACCACTTGGGTTTTTTCAGAAGCATACCTCTTGGCCAAAAGAACAGCAGATTTTTAGAGGCACAGCAAAATGTACAGCCCAGACAAAGATGACGCCACAAAAATATCTCAAGTGTTCCAACACACGTCAGTGTGTTCTTTGAAAAGAAATTATCACTAAGCTATCAATCACTAACACTTAAACTAAGCACTTCTTACTGAAAGAAATGGCTATCACTTGAACAACACATTATTTCCTGACTATGTTCTCAGAAAAAAAATACATGGACTTATTTTCTCTGCTCCCATATCCCCAAACTACTTAAGGCAGAAACCTGGCATGAAAAATCTCATCCAAAAGGTTACCCACTTAGTGAAGTTACGGTAAAGTTATGGTAGAAGTTGTGAATGACAGCAGCAAAATGCAAAACAGTTTTAACAATATGTTATACACACCCTTCAGACCATAACTTTCAGGAAATCCAAATCACGTTTGCCTATTTTCTTCCACTTTCTTCCTTCACAAGGTGCTAAAAAACATAGATGGTTGTCCTACACCATCCAGCTTTACATATACACTTGATTTTACACACTGTGAATAAGCCTAATCAATGTAATGCTTTTCAGAACCACGTGCAGAACTGCACAGAACTACAGACGCTCACTGTCACTGATTTTTCTGTGGTGGTAAGTATAATCTTTTCTAAACAAATATGTCCTGTATGATCATTTCAAAACTTCCATCACCATGTTGATATTATAACTGTGTGTTTCTGACTCTCTCTCTTCCTGTTTTTTATCTGCGTCACCTGTTTTAGTAAATCCCTTACCACCTTTCTCAACACACCAATTTTTCTGTTTCCACAGGCTATATCTATACCAATAAACAAAGACTGAGAATGTTTCAAGTCTGAAATCTGGTCATCTGTGCTGTTAAATTGTTAGAACTGACCCTGGCCATGATAAACAGCTCTCTCACAGAAAAAGTTCCTGAGAATGGCTAAAGACTTAGAACAGAACAGCTGTTCCCCATTAGCAATGTGAATGCAGCCACCCTGTCTTGCAGAATATGAAGAATAAATAATATGGACATAGGGCATTTCATGCCAGACAACTGCCCTGGGCACATTTATTTTACCAGTACAGGCACTGCCACAGCCTATGCAAGAATTTAACTTGGAAGCTGTCCTGGGTCCAGCTAGAACAGTCATTTTTTCTCCTTCTTAGTAGCTGGTGCAGTGCTGTGGTTTTGACTTTCAGCTTGGGAACAACGCTGACAACACCGATGTTTTTAGTTGTTGCTAAGTAATGTTTACTCTGACCAAGGACTTTCTTAGGCTCATGCTCTGCCAGGGAGGAGGGGAAGCTGAGACAGGACACCTGACCCAAACTAGCCAAAGGGGTATTCCACACCACAGTACATCGTGCCCAATATGTAAACTGGGGTGAGGTACCCAGGAAGGCCCAGATCACTGCTCGGGCTGGGCTGGGTATCAGCCAGTGGGTGGTGAGCAATTGTATTGTGCATCACTGCTGTTTATTGGTTTCTTTTTCTTTACCCCTTTCAGTGTTATATCCTCTCCCCTTGTTATTTCCCTTATCATTAGTATTGGTAGCAGTAGTGGTTTGTATTATACCTTAGTTACTGGAGTGCTGTTATCTCAGCTTGTGGGAGTTACATTCTTTTGATTCTCCTCCCCATCCCTCCAGAAGCAGACGGAGGATGAAGGGGGAGAATGAGCGAGCGGCTGCGTGGTTCTGAGTTACTGGCTGGGCTTAAACCACAACAGAAGCATCTTCAGTTTCACTGTCAAGTGTGAGCTAATGTCAACAAGAAGCATACACACATGCTACAATTTTGATACAATTCTGTTTCTATTTACTTAAATAATTAAATCTCCCTATTTCTCCGAAGTCAGTTTAAAAATATTTAGAGAAAAAGACAGGTATACACCGTAAGCTACCAGAATAGTTGGCAGCAAACCATTGTGGCTTAAAAATAAAGCAATATTAGGCTGCTTTCCTTACAATAACTTCTTAACACAAAACAGTACTTTCCCACTCTGTAGACTGACTAGTTACTACAAACATAAAGGCCTTTTTACATGCTAAATTACCAGACAATATAGAAGTTTCATTTTTAGCAAAATTTGAATTAAAGCATTTCATAATCAACTTCTCATTTAAATCTCTATGTATAATCTTCCAGCATCACTGCTTCTATACTGTAAAAATAACCGTGGTAGTCAAAGTGAACACTAACCTTCTCAATATTTATTTGGTGTTTTCTTAACCTTTCCAAATCTGTTGGAATTGCCACTTTAATGAATTTCTGAATGGCAGGTTCAATTCGACGGAGTTTAACTTTCTCATCATCTTCAGACATCCTAAAAGCAGCTCTCAGGTAAACACTTGTCCAGTACACTTTCACCAAGGTAGAAACCCCTAAAAACCAAATTAATTACAGGGTTACAAAAATGTAGTAATTTAGTATTTTGTTTTAAAGAAAGCAAAATAAGGTAAATCAGTCTTTGCAGTATTAACTACTTAAAATCTGGACACTGTATTTGCATTTAAATGTACTATTTCCTGTCATTTGCAGGCTTTGGGGTTCATATTTCATAGCTAAAACTTTACATTAACAAAAATAGCTAATTAATTAAGGCAGATGCAAACATGCTTTGCAGCATAATGATAGATGGAAGCCTCTGGAAAAAACTTCAAATGAAGTATTTTTCTCACATCTACCTATGGTGTGAAAGCGCAGGGGGAAAGTACTCAGGTTTTTCTGAGACACATGATTCCTGC